GCACACTATTCTTGCGTCGTTTCAGGCGGAAGGATGGCAAGAAGAAACAAGAAAGGCGTTGACGGGCAAGGGTCGGAATGTAAGTTGCGGCTACTGATCCAGGACGTCGAAGAAAGCCTACCCAGTCGCAGGGAGTTGCCCTGCAAATAAAACAATCTGCCTGACAGCAAAGTTAGGTCAATAACGCCCTCAGACTTCACACACAATGTTGGCGCGTTCAATGGCAAGGTGGTGGGGGTGGTAAGTGCAACACATGACACGCGAATGACAGGGGGGGGGCGACAGAGACGCAGGGCGGGCAGCGACGGGGGTCGGTGTCGGCCTCCGTGACCCTGTGTAAATGCTAATCTTTAGACTGTGAGGGGTGGGGGGTTGAGCAGAGTATCCGAAGGGGCAGGACGTGATGCGATCTGCCTCGATTTCATGAAGGCGCGAATGCTTGAACAAAAAAAAGGGAGTTTGGGGGGGGGGAGCGGGGGGGGCAGCACGGGGGTGATGGAGAAGAGAACAACCAAAAAAACGTACCCCCTGAAGACAAAGCCGTGACAACTCACGTGGAACTTCTTGCCGTGCTTGAGTGCCGCGCAAAAGAACGCCACCTTCTCCGTGGAGGTGTATTTTTTGCCACTGTAGCGCCATGCCTGCAGCGGTGTCATTTGTGGGCACGGGATACGAGGTGTTCAAAGGCAAGTGGTCTTCAAAACAACCCTGTACCGCTGCCCAACATAAGGTGGACCTGGATGATGAACGCCAATTTTCGGTGGAAGGAGTAGCACGTCGTAGATTGAACATCGGTGTGAAACTTGATTGCGAAGGGTGAACACCAGCCCCCACCCCAACAAAAATTCTTCGGCATTTCCGCTCAACGCGACCACCCCAGCCCTCGCACACGTCAGTCCTAATTGCGCAACCCATCACACACACGCTACCGCGCCAACGTAGATTTCAAGAAGAGTAGGAAAGGATGCACGACACTAAACGCAATTATGAATACGACCAACGCTGCTGCCATCGCCTCCATATACTCAAGGGTGCTCGCAACCGACTACCATGGCGCTACACATAGTATAGACAATGGTCTCCGACAACGCCACAAGGGGCTTCGCCCGATGATCCGTATAGAACAAAAAACAATTGACCCACCCTCGCAAACAATGCAGCAATGGGTTTCAGCCAAGACGCCAGCGACAGCATTTTTTCTGTCACTCTGGAATTAATATGGTATTCCTTGGACACGGAGACACGGCGGCTCAACATTCTACACAATTTACCTGTAGAAGTCTGCGCATATATATGTATGGCGGGAGTATGGCAACAAGAGATCACATTTCTGAATAATATAAAACCCTACCTCGAACTGCTTGTCGGTCGGGACCTTCTTCTTCTTCTTCTTTGGTGGTGCCTTCTGCTTCTTCTGCGTGTCGCCCTTCCTCTTCTTCGACTGCGATGGTTGCTTATTCGTTGCAGGCTGCTGCTGCTCCTCCTCCTCCTCCTCCGATGACTCCTCCTCCTCCTGCTGCTGCTGCTGCTGCTGCTGCTGCTGCTGCTAAGGTTGCGACTGCTGCTGCTGCTGCTGCTGTCGCCGTTGCTGCGGCTTATGCTGCTGCTGCTGCTTCTGCTGCTGCTGCTGCCGCTGCTGTTCCTCCCGACGCTGCTGCTGCTGCTGCTGCTGCTGCTGACGTTGTCCTTTCTTCTTGCCTGTCGGGGGCGCATCGCCTGCGCCCCCAGTTCGCGCGGGGGGGACAGATGGCGCCGTAGCAGCCCGCCCCGTCGCGTTGCCTCCTCGGGTGCTGCGACGCAAACCGCTGGGAGCGGAGGCAGAACTCGCTTTCGCATGCGCATCGCTCTTGGAGTTGGCGTCCTCCCCTAAGGAGAAGAGATGGCAGAGAGGGTGCCACAGCTGCACGGTCGGACCTGTTCGCGCTCGCCAACTCGACGTACGATCCCCCAGCGGATTGAAGCCGCCCGGAGGAGGGTCGCTTTCCAGCCGACTCGTGGGCTCCAGGAACGGCGGGCCCATCGCCGGCTCTTCGCGGGGTTCCAGACGCCCCTTCGTCCCCCTGTTGACTACTCATCAGGCCCACCAGACCCTTGGCAGCATCGGCCTCATCCACATTTACCGCGGACGTGCGACGAGAGCGGCGCGAGGAAGGCGCACGCGGGGGTAGGTGTGAGTTGTCCTCCCTCTGGCGACTTGCTCCTCGTTCATTTGCATCCCGGGACGTGACCCCGCCGCGGCCGCCACGACCACCCCTGCCAGCCACCCCTGACGCCCTCCCGCCTCCTTTGGAGGAGCCATGGACTACTAATACTAGTGGGGACTCAACAGGTGAGCGCTGTGTAATGTTTTTTGGTGGTCTGCGCATGCATAGAAGCGGGAAAAAAATCTTTCGACCACAACCAAAAGGCGGTCAAAAAAAAGGCACAAATACTGGGAAAATGGGAAAATTCTAGGTGGGAAAAAAAAGGGTGAACAGGTTCGTCAGGCTTCGGTCAAGTTTGCCACTATTTGACACTTTCATCAAAGTTGATGCAAANTGTGAGTTGTCCTCCCTCTGGCGACTTGCTCCTCGTTCATTTTCATCCCGGGACGTGACCCCGCCGCGGCCGCCACGACCACCCCTGCCAGCCACCCCTGACGCCCTCCCGCCTCCTTTGGAGGAGCCATGGACTACTAATACTAGTGGGGACTCAACAGGTGAGCGCTGTGTAACGTTTTTTGGTGGTCTGCGCATGCATAGAAGCGGGAAAAAAATCTTTCGACCACAACCAAAAGGCGGTCAAAAAAAAGGCACAAATACTGGGAAAATGGGAAAATTCTAGGTGGGAAAAAAAAGGGTGAACAGGTTCGTCAGGCTTCGGTCAAGTTTGCCACTATTTGACACTTTCATCAAAGTTGATGCAAAAGTTGCCATCAACTTAGGTTCAGTCCATCCAGACAGGTCAACCCTGATCAACGTTGATGGGAAGGGGGCATGTTAAAGTCCAGTAATGCGATCACAGTTGATCAACTTATTTCGTNGACGAGCTTTGCAACGCGTCGCTTTCATCCTAGACCAGGATTTGTTTAGTGAGAAAAAAACTCANATTTCGTCAGCTTTCCTCAGCGTACGTTGTGACAGCAATCAGTAGACTAGACTGTTTAGGACTGGTNACCTGGCCCTTGGCAGGCTGCGAGGCTACCTATCGCGGTGATCTCTGAGTCTCTGGTGTAGCTGTAAGGACGTCCTACCGAGGTCCCCTGTCCAACTGTTCCTCCGCTTGCTCTGGGGATCTTTCCGTGCGGTCCGCGCACGCCCGTATGTCACTGTATTCACGACTCAAGATCCGCCTGCTCCAGGCGCAGGCGATGGAGGCACTGCTGTANCTGTAGTTGCAATTTTGATGGCACTTCCATGAAAAATTTAGCCCAGATTTCGTCGCAATTTGGCAACGAATTGTTGTCTGGCGTTTATTTAGACTGATGCAATGTTGTTTCATCATAATGCTGACTGCTATTTGTCTGCTTAACTCTCTTTGGTCTTTACGGGCCAGGAGTTATCAGATTCGATCGGGCTTCGGTCGCCATTCCGCAACACTTTTTCTGCTTGGTAGAACTACATATATATGTCGGGTACTGTAGTCTGGGTGACCCAGTGTTGGTGACCCAGTGTGGGGGGCACATGTACGGAGAGAGCTCCTCTACAGCATGCGGGGAAAGCCAAAAAGGCAAACTGAAAATTGTGTGTTTGAAGAGAGGCACCACGAGGATCGTTCTTCTCGGAAGGGGGATAAGGTTCTAGGAACGCAAGGACTGCTGGCTCTAATCTGAGAAACACCCCGCCGGAGATCCCAACGGTAGTGGGTCATTCACGCGTAACTTCCTACGAGCATCCTGCGGTGGCATTTTCATGGAGTCAATTTTGCAAATTGCACCCAATATTAGCCTCGAGTAAAACAACTCGCTGTCTCCGCCACTCTCTGTCTTTGTCTCTCTGTGAATCTGTCTTTCTCTCTCTCCGTGGCACTCCTTCGTTATCCGCAAAGCAAGACGCAAGCATCTCAGCGGGGTAGCGCACGCACACGTTTGTGAAACTATGTTCCGCGAAATTGCACAACACTCTCTACAACACAGTCATCCCACTGTCCATCGACACGTACATGTATGAGAAAGAGAGACGGGGCGATAGAGAACAGTCGACTACAGTAAGGAACGTAGTGAGGATGGAAAATATACATTATTGAAAAAGGGCCATTTTCATTGGCTGTCTTCGATTTTAGAGGGGTGTGCTCATGATACTACGCGCATGTGGTACATTCAGTATCCTCGCATAAAATCACCCGGCAAAATAATGTGTTGCAGCTGCTTTTTGCGTTGCACATTATTTGCGGCGAGCATATCTCTCCGGTGTCTTCTGAAGAGTTGTTTAGGGTATGTACTCACTCGCAATTGACTATTTCTCTCTCGGGTCTCGATATGTGGCCAAGGACGCCGCTGTGCCGTAGTTGGTGCGTGTTCCTTGAGAATATTCGGCTGACGGCGAACTTCGCATTCGAGGGATTTGTGGAAACCAAAACGACCAACCGTAGTTGTTGCCGTAGTTGGTTGCTCGGGAAGGCTACTATCGCTTGCTTGTTGAAAGTTGTTTGAAACTGAAGGTTTTCCTTGCTGCCGTGTTTTTCCTCTGTGTCCGCCGTATGTGCAGGTTCGCCAGTTCGAACGCCGTGGCGGCGGCTCCGTTCAACCCTACCGCCCGAGTAAGTGGTGAAGTGCTTTTTGGGGGGGAAGAGAGAAGAGAGGGAGAGAGAACCCTCAACGAAGAACCAACGTTTTTTCTTGAGGGTGCAGGGTGGGCAAATGAAGGGACGGATCGTTCCACATCGTGATCAGTAGTGACCTGGCGACTACAATACCAGTAGGTGGGAACGGAGCTGCTATACTTGGAAAATACGGTAACATCCCTGGGATCAATTGATTTTAGAGGGAAACAGCGTACCCTGCAGGCGACTGTGGTCGGCTGTCAACACGATATATATATATATATATATATACATGCTATTACTCTCCGTCCAGGTGTTTTTTATTTTGTTTGTCTCCCACTGTTGAACTCTGTTGTCTGCCCCTCTGGTCCCTGTCCTTGACTTCTACCAGCTAGGCGACCCAACCCAGGTCACATAGGAGGTGAGGCTTGAACCCCCTCCAGCGGTTCCTGCCTGAGATATTTTTATCGCGAGAAGGATACAGCAATCCCTTCCCTCGCGACTTAGAAGTCGATCAAGTTTACTACTAAGGAGCTTTGCAGCGCGTCGCTCCCAACGGAGACCGGGGTTCAATTAGCGAGAAAAACACTCTGTCGGGACTCGAACCCATGACCTGACCCTTAACACGCTGCGAGGCTACCCACTAGACCGCCGGGGCGACCGGCGTGTCGAATTACGAATGCAAGGTCTATGATCGAGACGGCACGAGTCATTTGTTCAGCATACTCCCACCGGCATTGCCACAGGTCATGCCACGGGTCAAAGGTTGGCGATGTCCGGGGCGAGGAACAATACCAAACACCAGGGAGGTGTGTTGTTGTTTCTCACGTTAGCTCTTTCGTCCACAAAAATGGGGAGCCCGTGGTCTCAAAACCCGGCACATACGACGCCGCGGGGAAGCAGAACAACAATAGGGTACAAACCACTCGGACAAAGAAAAAAAAATGATAGAAAAGAACAGGCACCGCACCGACCGTTCGAGAGAATAGCCCTCGGAAACCGATCAAAATAAAACAAGAACAATAATAAACGACGACGCTTCCCACACGGCTACCCCTATTTGCACGACGCACTTGCAAGTAACAACTTGCACGACTCAAACGCCCCCAGAACCACACAACCAGAAACCCATTTTTAAACTCAAAACAGCAGCGAAACAACACAGCACATAACCACCGCCGACAGGCCGCACAGCACGCGCAACGCAGCAGACCACACTGCAGATATGTCCCTGAAAAGAACGATACGTGACGACGAGCATTCAGTTGTCGCCGTAGAGGTAGAGAGCGGCGACGCGTGCATGCGATCAAGCCCAGCCGAAGAACAACGGCAGGAGGGGCAGGAGGAGCAGCAGCAGCAGCAGCAGCAGCAGCAGCAGCAGCAGCAGCAGGGAGAAGGAGGAGAGACCGCAGGAGGAGAAGAAGGAGACGCTCCCGACGAAACCGTGAGATCTTATTTTGATCATGGTTCATCAAAATAAACGTTCAGACAGGATATTTGTTTTGACAGGAGGATTAGACTACATAAATATACGAAGATGAGAGCGCCAACGTATTTTCATCATGGCTCACCAAAATAAACGTTCAGACAGCAGGATATTTGGTTTGACAGGAGGATACTTCGAGGTATATACGGAGAATGTCTGTATGTTGATGTATGGAATTTACGTTGTCTGTCATTATGTGATGAGATGGTACTGCGATGTGCTGGGTGCCTGCATGTATGTACTGCTGCGCTGGGGGGCATGGAAGTATTGGAGGTGCTCTTGGAGAGGTCTAACCCATAGGATGGCGAATGAGAAGAATTCGGGGATAGGGGCGAGTGTGACAGGGGTGCGTGCGGCGAGTGGGGGGATGGAATCTTCGCAGCTGGTGCTGCGAGCGGGAAAGATAAAGTACTGAAGTTGTTGATGGTTGAAGGCTGCTATAAAGACTAGATGGGAGTGAAAAAGCCGGGTATGGTCGTGCCCAACGTATAGTAGTCGTCGATGACGCCGGCGAGCTCTGGGCGACCCGGTTGTGGCCTCTCAGGGTTGGACGGATGTGGTATATAATGTAAACGTTCATCAACCAATCAATGTCTCATTGTGTAAAGATGTTTGTTGTGTGCTGATGCAGCACTCGTGAGATGGCCATCGCTTCTTTCGTGAGGTTGTTCGCCCGCTCTGCCGTGGCTAAAGCTGGACGGAATGATAACTTTGTCGGCTGGTGCAGATGTACAGTAGTCCCGCGGGATCTTGGTATCCGTGACACCGCCAACTTGTGAGTGGTGTAATGAAGTGCGATACTTGTCGTGGTTATCTTGATTATGTGCGTGAACGGTGAGTCTTTGATACTCGTTGCGGCTGAATACGTCGATGAGGAATTCGTTCACCAAAGGAGCAACTTGTTGAAATCGGGGTTCCCATACCAACGACTGTGTTACCCTGTGATTTTATTCTCAGCTGTGCTTTGCATGGCAACGTGCAGCCGGATGCCCTGCCTTGTGGGAAAAGCAATGAAAAATAGTCCATGCCATGTCGTAAGCGGAGATGACGTTTTTCTCGCCGGTAAGTGTCCTGGTCATTGCTGCTTAGCCACGTGGAATGACCCCTTTAGCGCGTGTCGATGGCCATTATTTCCGCAGAAGGAGAATCAGGTGACGAAAACGCCGAGGAGTTGAATATCGTTTTGGATCGAGGCCTAAGGCGACAGGCGTAGAAAAAGAAGAAACAGTTGCTTTTTCGAATTTTAGCGAATGAATGTATTCTTACAGATTGATGTATTTGCAATGCAGACAGTACATTTCTGATGATTTGCGATCATTGTGTAACCAACCATGCTGGTAGCTTTCTTGCTGGGAGGGAAATGAAACAGATATTATTGAAACATATGTACAATTGTTTTGTATCAATAAATAGGAAGAAGAATAGAATGTACCTGTGTTGGCTTCACTTGGCACACACCGGTTGCTCATTGCAGCTGTAAGCGGCCAATATACGACGAAAACTGTTGCTTAGCCGTCCGTACCTTTGTCATCATCGCTTCATCGAGTTCACCGTAAGTTGGCTTGGCTGGGTGAGCGAATTATGCTGCGTGAAATGAAGCTTAGTGAATCGAGTGACGTCAGAGAGCTCAATGAAATGAGTGCGCAAGTGAAAAAGTTTCGTCGAGTGAATTATGTGAGATGAGTGTGTGCAGGAGCGACTGAGTGTGCATTCTCTGTATTCCGGGATCGACAGCCCGATGAGCGTGTAATGAAATGACGTCAGTAATATGGAACGGAATGCCAAACACGAACAGGGGTGTTTAGCCTTTTGGACTCTTCTGACCTCCTTGTAGTCCTATGTTCATGGGGACCCACGGTCCAAGTGTTCCCCACTTCTGTGTTATGCGGAGGCGAGCATGGGCCGTTTCATGTGTAAACCCGATGTTTGGCCGAGTTCAGGCGTAGAGTATCATTTTGTGCTTTTCCCCAACGACCATTTCCATGTTCTTTTAGGGGTCTTATGAAACAGATCAGCTTCACTTTCACTCAGTGCACATGAAGCTCCCTCCCTATCCGTCCCGCCCAAGCTGCCACCAACGGTATTCAGTCGTTTTCATCTCAAAGGATCGCCCCTCAGTCTGATGAGGTCGTGCCTACTCCAATTGAAACGGAGAGCTTCGATCCGGGGTCGATCCTTATTCAAACATGCTCAAGTGCCGCGAGTGACCGAACGATTTCGTACCCACACCCAACAGAACGGAGACGAGATGCATAAGCGGTAAAATGAAAACCACAACCATCTCTAGTCTAGCTTTTACCCCCCCAAAAAGAGTGAATATATTCAAGAAAATGACATCCAGACAAAGCCACCCGCCCCGCAGCCCGCATTTTCCGTAGCCTCTTTGTGCTGGTGGAGCGCTAGCGCCATGGTGGATCACAATCAACACGTGAACAATGTCATATACAGTTCCATGTCCATGATATCATGATAGAATCCATACAATGAAAAGAACAAGCAACTCTAGTCTAAATAGCCCCTACCCCCCACACTAAAAACAAGAGTGAATGATTTTTGCAAAATGGAATCCACAAAAAGTGTCACCCGCCTCGCAGTCCGACATTCTCGGTGGCCTCTTCGTGGCGGTGGAGCGCTAGCGCCATGGAGGATCACAATCAACAAGTGAACAATGCCATATATTTTTCAGTGTCCATGATACCATGGGAGATGGTGGGAGACGACCTACGCCAACCCCGGTATCACCTCCCGTACCCCACCGGAGTCTCTGGATTGAGCCATTGTTGTCCTCCCCCCCCCGGCACCTCTCTATTGCACGAGGTACCTTCAGTCCGCCACCGCTGCCACGTCGTACGAAGCGTAGCGTAATGCAAAACTAGGGGATGGTCCTCTCTCCTGTACGGTACGGACGGCGTGGACAAGGGGCGGGGGGGATGAGGAGTGCAATTTATTCTGGTATTTTCTGGTTAATTCACCCCCGTCTGATCTAAATTGTGCTTTCCCGTTGCAACCACCGGCGGCGTAAGGTCCGTTTAAAACGGCCCTAAGCCCACATGCGGTTGTTAACCTAGAGGTGCGCCAGCGTATGCCCACACCGCGGGTAGTACATGGTCAACGGGAGCGTGCGTGTACACGGAGAGAGCGTATGCAGCTGCCGGAAGAATACTAGACTACTGCTGTGGGGCTCAAACGGCGAAGGAAATTCTCGGCGTTGGTGTGCTCTGGTGCGTAATGCACCTTCAAAGCAAGAGACGCACTGCTGCTGCACTGCTGCAGGTAAAAAAACGTATCCCCCGCGGCACACGAAGGGTTGAGTGTGTGGCAAGGAAAAACTGAAAAAGAACAAGGGCGATTCATCCCTTGTCTAAGGAGCAGGCTGCTTGCTGCTCTGCTGGGGTCTAAGCATATCTTCTGATCTTCTGTAGCTGTACTGCCGTACCGCCGTACCTGCCGTACCTGGTGTTTCGTGCCTGCTGAATAAGTAGCGGTGTTCAATACAGCGGCCGGTGCCGCTCCTCTCTCTCTAACAAGCAAAATCCCGGGGGGACATGTCTGCAGTGTGGTCTGCTGCGTTGCGCGTGCTTTGCGGCCTGTCGGCGGTGGTTATGCATGGTTATGTATGTGCTGGGCTGTGTGTTTCGCTGCTTGTTTTGAGTTTGAAAGTGGGTTTCTGGTTGTGTGGTTCTGGAAGCGTTTGAGTCGTGCAAGTTGTTATTTGCAAGTGCGTCGTGCAAATAGGGGTAGCCCTTCCCACACCCGCCTAACGAAAAAATCAAAGGGTATCGTACCAGCACCAGGTACACACCGGGGCATGGGAGTAGCGGAGCAAACAGGACAAAGAGGCGGCAGATGGGCAGACAGCCAGATGTACAAAAACAAAAGCAACAGCAAGAGCGAGATCAAGGTACCCAACACAGCAGAGTAGGCAGGGAGGACATGAAAAACAAATAAAGAAACACAGCACAGAGACCGAAGGCAATACAAAGGACATACGTAAAGGGAGGTATGGTCCGCCATGTACTTGCACAAAACCTCCTTGCCATGTGGTTTCATGGTCGATGGTCTTTGAAACTCGATTGTCGATAGGTTCATCGTGTGGCCCATTTTTCTCCTTGTGGGGTTTTTACGGCACGGATGTCCTTCCGCTATGACTTGTGACCGTTCGAGTCGCCCGCATCGGTTGGCTCGTCTACTTAGGCGGTCAATGGTGATGCACATTTGACAGAAAGATGGTTCGTGCGAAGATGTAGAATACAGAACGTGAGAACCTATAGCATCTACATAGAGTAGCTGCTCCATGCAAAGGGCTTGAATCGTTCGCGCTGGCGAACCACGCTGTACCGTCGATGCTGGGTCCTGTCCAGCAACTGCCCGAACGTACCCGTCGAATGATGAACCACTGATGATACCATAACAAGCAATGCGCACGAAGTCTACACCCATTGTTTGACATCGAGAGTACATGACGAAGCTCATCTTACCCGCGGGTGGGTCCTACACAACCGGCCACTTTGTAGCACCCTGGACCAATGTGTCCACGGCCCTGTCATGTACGCTTCTCTGGCCGTCCGTGTGATCAGATAGAAACCGCTATGTAGCACTTTCCTCAAGGCTGCACGAGAGGGCGACACGTAGGACGACCACTCAGGGCTTGTGTCGAACACCACGCGCATGTTTGTCTTTGCTCCCGCGCTGATTCGTTCTTTAGGTCTCACCATTGCGGAAGACGAGGAGCGCGTGAAGATTCGGCGTAATGGCACCAAGGTGTTCACCAGAACAAACAGGGTGATCAGAGGTAGGTACCCGTGGCACAGCCGATATGTTTGAAATTCAGCAAAGCAGTCGGGTTGCGGAAAGTAGAAAGGTGGACATGGATTCGGACGGGCGTGCCGCAATTTTCGCACTATGAATGACGCAGGGCGCACAACAAAAGTTGTTGGACCCGCACTATTCCCCTCAGCCGAACCGAAATATATGCTCCTTTCCAGTGCATTTTTCGTTTCAACAAAAAACAGTTGTTTCGCCCTGTCGAGGTCGCTTGATTGGCGAGGCGTTGCCGAAACGATACTCAAAATACACACCAGAACCTACAGCCGCAACGGTGGTTGTTCTTCACAGCATGTCATGCGTAACCGTAAAAGTTGGCAGAAGCAGGGGCATTCACTTGAGCTTGTAGGCCGTTAACGCCCCCCTGTTCTCGGGCCACGAGATGTTTCAAAATAGGTACGAGGTCTAGCCAAGGCTCTAGACCTGATCGATTCTCACGTTGTTAATGCTTGGTCTTCGCGCGAACAATCGTTCTGACAAATGCTCATGACCTTTCTTGAACAACCACTGTACATCCGTAAGATCCAACCGGTGCGGGCGACTCACACGGTCCCAAGGAACGGCGGAGAGACACAAGAGCCACCACATTTACTTTATTCCGGAAACATTGTTAGCTTTAATGCGTGCTAAGCTCGTCGCACGACGTCGAAATCACAAGCATCAAAGGGTCGCGCTAGGTGTATACTTTCTTTCAAGCCCTTGGTTATCTTGATCCGTTCCGAAAAAAAGGCCGCAAAAGATGTCAAAAACACGTTTTAATATGCAGAGAGACAGACAGTCACACGCACAGCAAACAGACGCCAACATCGTATTTTTGGTTGCTTCGCTTGCAAGGTCTATTGAAGCCGAAATCAAACCATTAGTCTAGTCAGCGCTGCCTTGTGACTAATAAAGTTAGTCGTGGGGTTCGTGAGCCCCGTCACTTTCACTTCCGAGGAGGTTGACTCCCCTTGCCAGTGCTACTGTCCATCCATTTTTTTTTTCGCTTCATACATCATCACTCGCCACCCACATCCTGCAGAATGTTCCACGATCTACGAGTCCTTCCATCACCCATATTCTAGCCTAGAGTATCCAGGGTCTCGGGGAAAAAAACACTTCAAAGTGTCCAGCCTGGGACTCCAACCCAAGACTAACTCGCACACAACCAGTATTCCTGGACTCACACTCACATTTCTCATCCATTTTGAGTTGTGGCGCTGTTCAATGGAATGTGGGTCAAACCATATCACCGGATACATAATGGTTGTATTTCACAAGAATTCTCTGGTATTCCTGAACTAAAACCCGACGTCGAAGCATTCACTATTCTCTTTGTTCTGTATTGTATGGGTTATAGACCGCACATATGAAGCCTACCACGATACACCCACCCCAACACAACGCATTCACTACGCGGAAGCGAAGTCCCGCAGGGCAACCCTCCTCAACACGCCGGGAGGGGGGAGTATATTATTCGAAGTACAGAGCAGGGTTTAGCGCCTGTCAAAGCCGAAACACTTCACTGATGCAAACGAGGTTCTTAGCGACCATCCCGAGCTTGTATTTCACGCTGCTGGTTTTTCCGCGCATTTTGTTCTTTGCGCTCGTGCTGATTGTGCCTGCCTGCAGGTGACACAATCACGGAATACGAGGAGTCAGCGGAGTTTCGGCGGAATGGCACCGAGGTGTACAAAAGAACAAACAGGAAGATCACAGGTATGTTCCCAGCAGGCATGTTTGAATTTCCGCAACGCAGTCGGTATGTAAGTTGTGGGAAGTGTGCATCGACTCGAGCAGACGTGGCACATTTTACCTATTACTTCGTTGTTGCCAGTAAGGCAGAACGAAAGGGGAACACTATCGATGAAGCGCAATTGCAACTCAGCGATGAACTAGGGGGTCGAGTGACCTATATATATCGCACTCGCCATACACCATAGGCTCGGGCGATAGAACGTCTGAGCAGTTCCATCGCGATGGAAACTGACGTGTCGCCAAAAAGTCCATGCACGTACCCGTTTTGCGTCCCTTTTATGACTGCGTTGTTGCAGGAAGACGTTAACCGATGGTGGGTACGACGGAGGCAACAGCCTTTCTGCGGTGTGGCATCAACCTGACCTTCAACAACGGCAGCATCGACTTCAGTTCGGGCTTGGTTTTGTTGGTTGTGTTGGATCGCTGGTGGTGAAGGGTTGGGTGGTGCGTGGCGCTGAGGAGATCGAGACTCTCGCGACCCAAAGAAAACGCTGCCGCGGCGTTTGGTGGAAATTTTGCAGGAGGGTTGGTTCGCGTTTCTTTTGTTTCTTCTCCGTGCCTGTGGGCGTGCGTTTGTTCTTGCGCATGTTGTGGGTGTGCGTGTTTCCTTGTTTTTTTTTGCATTGGGTTGGGCTGGGTTGGGTCGGGTCCGGTTGCGTTTCGTTGGGTCGGGTTGGTTTGCATTGGGTTGTGGTCTTGTAGAGTTGGATAGTTTTGGGTTGGGTGGGGTTGGGTTGCGTTGAGTTGCGTTGGGTTGGGTAGTGTTGGACCGCCAGTGTAGTGTTGGGTTGGCGCTGCCTTTGGGGACCTGGCCGTGCTCGATCGGTTTTATTTGTCAATTGATTTTGTTACCAAACGTTGGTACACCATGTTGTACATGTAGGTCTTTTGCCATAATGATCCCCCGAACCCGAGAGAGAGTGTAAGTAGTAATTGGCTATCGCGAACACCCTACTGTTAAGGAGTGTTGCTGGTCCGCCGTTTCATGTCACCACAGATGATGTGTCGGCGCCGGTGGGACGTCTGAAGGTTGACTACATTTCGGGACATCAGCTGGTGCGTGGGCGTGGCGGCGTTCTCGCTGTCCTGTATCACACGCATCGGATTGGGCTCGCTACTCCTTCCTGGGAACGTGAATCCGACCTCGAGCAATCCCGTCGACACATCCTTTTGTATTGGTCTCGGGAAATTAGCCAAAGCAAGCAGGGTAACCGCGCTTACCGTAACACTCGGACGCGCGCGGCACAGCGGGAGCTCGCACGGACTCGTGGAGAACGTTATCTGCCCCCGGGAGCCGATCTTGTACTTCACGAGACTTGGCTTCGCCGTTTCAGTTCTTCGCCCTTACCCGTGGGAGCGAGGCTGTGGTACAAGGCTCGAGACGGATTATGGTGGACGGGACGTATCGGGGCTCATCAGGGCGACTCCTACATTGTTCGGTTCCTCGATGATCCTGGCCCCAGCGTTCTTCCCCTGCCTGAGGATCTCCATTCCACCGCCTTAAACGCCGTCTGTGGATCCTGGTGTCTGGAGAAACATGGTTCCCGCCCTTTGGGCGACATCAGCGTCCGCATCCGTCTTCCCGCTGACTCCTTACCGTCAGCCGTCCCCATGGTTTCTTCTTAGTGTTTGGTATTTCGGCGCCTTGCGGGGACACTTCCCATTTTTTTTTATGTTTTTGTGTGTTATGTTTTGTTTTATGCCTTCCTTTTCATCGGCGATGTGATTTTCCCAGATCTTGCGTCTTGTTTTCTCTTGCTCCGTTTTTATTTTTTATTGCGTTTGTTTTGTGTTCCTAGTTCTGCTCTCTTCTGTTTGACAAACTGAGACCGAAAAGAAACGAAAAGAAAAGAAAAGAAAAGAAAAGAAAAGAAGAGAAAATACCTGCCAAAAGCGCAAACCCGGTCCTCGGTTCCCAGTGTTCTGTTTGATCGTTTCGTAGTCCACCGCCGTTGCGGGCGGAATAGGGCGAGTGTTCTCCCTTTCGAGAATGTTTTGGTTGAGTTCCCCGTTCTGAAGTGAAAAAGAAGAAAAAGTGTATTTGGGACGAAGTATCAAACTGGGACCGAAAAGAGAAGAAAAGAAAAGAAAAGAAATGAACAGAAAAAAAAATACCTGCCAAAAAGCGCAAACAAACCCGGTCCTCGGTTCCTATTGTTCTGTTTGATCGTTTCGTAGTCCACCGCCGTTGCTGGCGGAATAGGGCGAGTGTTGTCCCTTTCGAGAATGTTTTGGTTGAGTTCCCCGTTCTGGATTGTGACTAATGTCGTTATTCTTTGTCTGCCTGCGTTTGCCCGTGGATCGCCGCGACCTGGACGTGTCCTTCTCTGTGCTTCTTCCTTGTTGCTTGCCTTTCGTCTATCGATTGCCGCGACCTGGATACGTTATTCTATTTTATTTTTCTTTGTGCGTTCGTCAGTTTTCTTTTCGCTGCTTTCAACAATCGGCACCGTCGACGATTCGAAGTAGTCGAAGCATGGGTGGTGTTGTTTGCCTCTGAACACTTGGAAAAAGAGTTCCCCGAGTTTCGTCGGTGCTGTTTGCCTTTGAACACTTGGAAAACGAGTTCCCCACGTTTCGTCGAGGATGTAGCCTGGCCATCACGAGATGGGTTGACTACGCCCCATGCTCCGGACTTCCATACCGTTGCGTCCCCTTCTCCTGCGGCCTTCATCGACGTTCGCCATCGCCCACTTCACTGGACTTCTTTCCGCCATCGTCACTTCCTGGCGTCGACTACATCATCATAGTCGAGATCCCGAGTTCTAGTGTTGTATGCATGTTTATGTGTTTTCTGTTTATTATGTGTTGTGTGTTTGTGTTTCATCATCGCCCGTCTGTGCGAGATATAGGGTGGCTAGTCGCATTCATTTTCGACTTTGATCATTCGTGCATTGTCGAGCCATTGGTTTTGCATGGTTTGGACTCCACGTTTCTTTGTGCAGTTTGGTTGGGGTGGCAATTAACGCCTCTCTTCCGTTTTGGCCATGAACGTTCTTCAGTCTTACCTTTTGTGGTCAGCGCATTCAGCCGTAGTGTGCCCGTCGTCCTGTCCCACTGAATTTTGCGGGAGTAATTCTGGACTCTCTTGTGTCGCCACCCTCATTCCTCCAGTCGTAATACGCGCTTGCGCGCGAAATAGAGTGGTGTGTGGCGTTGATATTGATTTGTTTTGTTTTTTGTGTCAAAACATGGTGCTTTGCAGCACATCTTGCCCAAGCTATATCCCTCCATGGGTATAACCTTATCATTGAGTCGCCACTAGCTGTGTTTCCGCGTCATCGGAATCACCTTTTGTCTCAATGGTGGGGTGGGGGGTCGAGTCGGGATATTTCTACAGCTCCTCTTTCCTTTGGATACACTTGTGAAGAGTCATATCTTTCGATTCATGATCGATCGTAGATCATCAGCTATTAGTCGCCTTAGGAATTGAGTATAGAATCTGTATAGATGATCTTCAGGGGGGGCTAGTGTTAAGGAGTGTTGGTGTATGGCACAGATAGGGTACACAGTCGGTCTAGATTAAGATGGGGGACGTCAGGAGGTATACCCTCTTAGGACGTACCCCATCGGGACTTAGCTATCTGCGTGCCCCCAGGTTGAGGGCAATCCGCCTCACCTCAGACCTGTAGCAGACCCGCTTCTGCAATAACAAGCAACCTTCCAATCTCAACGTGCTCGTGGACGAGAGTGTCTACGGCAGAATCTACATCTACAACATCTAGGAGGCAAGCCACCGTCGGGCGGGCATTCCTTTAAACTACGACAAAAAAAAGGGGAGCGGATTTTGAGTATCCCGACCTCTGAGTACTCGTTTTCTCGTTTCTCCTCCTGTTTTATAATAGTTTTTTTTTGGAGAGAAGTGGCCCGGTAGGGACGCTTTTTGTTTAAAAAAAGTAGCCGTTTAGAGGGGGGGGGCAAAACGGGCTCAAGTAAGTCCGTCTGCCTGTCGGTCTGTCTGTGACCAGCCTCGATATATTACCCAGCAGATTCCAGCCTATTTCACCATCTCGGCATCGAATTGCAATCTAAGACATGTTCACAACAAGTAATATTTTGCCCGAGTTGCCCCAACTGCTACTCTTCAATCCGTACTCGGTGCGTCGAGATAGTGCAGCGTCGGTACCCAACTTGAAGCAGGGAAGTTTTCTGGCCCCTTACAACACCGAGAGGAGGCGTCATTTGATTTTGAACCAAGACAGATACAACACACAGACGCTGCTACGCACTACCATTGGTGCGACATGTACTGCTTGCTGTACGCCTCTCTACACTTTTGTGCGCGAAGGCCTAGTGTGCGACCAGTGCCTCCCGTGCTAGCCTGGTTACCCATCACACGCTTGAACGCTTTTTTTTTAGATTTCTCGATCAAAGCTCGAACCAACAAGCGAAGCACAACAACAGCAGACATTTTTTTTGTTTTTGCTGCTAGCCCTATTTTTTAAAATACCACACCCCTCCCTCCCCCCCGGAGTCACATTGATTGGCGCCCCCCACACCTCAATCAATATACAGTATTGTGATACTGCTGTGCAGTAAACGGGCCAAAGGTGGCAACGCACGAGCCTACTGCAGGTGGTACGTTTTTCAACAAAAACCTATTCCACCTCCCGATCTAGTAATAGTTTTTTTTGAAGAAAAGTGGCCCGGTAGGGACGCTTTTTATTTTTCAAAAAAGTAGCTGTTTAGACGGGGGGGGAAAACGGGCTCAAGTAAGTCCGTCTGTTTGTCTGTTTTTCTGTTTGTGACCAGCCTCGATATTTTACCCAGTAGATTCCAGCCCATTTCACCATCTCGGCATCAAATTGCAATCTAAGACATGTTCACAACAAGTAATATTTTGCCCGAGCTGCCCCAACTGCTACTCTTCAATCCGTGCTCGGTGCGTTGAGATAGTGCAGCGTCGGTACCCAACTTGAAGCAGGGAATTTTTCTGGCCCCTTACATCACCGAGAGGAGGCGTCGTTTGATTTTGAACCAAGACAGACAGCCTCGCACACCACACACCACACACACACAGAGCCAGGCATGGACAAACAGGGAGAGGGAGACACAGACCACAGCGAGGGCGAGACGGTGGGAGAAGGGTATGCCATACACTGCTGCTGCTGTTAGCTATCGGCGGAGGAAGCGAGAGGAGAGATAAATATTTGGTTGCAGCAGCATCATCAGCAGCAGAAAAGCAGCGGCCTCTCACTTTCTTTCCGCGGAGGGGGGCACATGACACCAACAACACAACAGCATACATTTTTATTATTTTTCTTATTTTTTTTGTTTTTGCCTTCCGACAATTAATTGCAGATGTACCTCAGAAAACTTTCACTTAATGTCTCATACTCTACATGAACATTAAACCAATACGAAGTACAACAACATATGTAGGACTTATTTCTACTGTGATTTACATCCGATGTAAATCACAGTAGAAATAAGTCCTACATATTTTTACGATTCGTAAAAATATCTCCTATTCAACTTAAAATAAAACCAATGACAATCCTGATGGTATCCTATATGCGTTCGTAAGCTTGCTAAAATACTACTGCGTTGATGTCCTCTTGTAAAAGCTGAAATCCAACAAATGCTTTGATTCATGCTACATTTATTTATTTATTTTTGCCTTCCGACAATTGCAGATGTACCTCAGAAAACTTTCACTTAATGTCTCATACTCTACATGAATATTAAACCAATA